TCTTTGTGGCGGAGAATAATGGAAGCACTGGTGCTGGTTTAAAACCCTGAGAACTAGATTAATATGTAACAAGAACCCTTTCTTTTCTTCTTTCAGTCCTTTCATCCTCATTCTTATAATTTGAACTCTTTACTCCACCCATCCTCGTTCATCTTCTCCAGGTTTAACCCTTCTCTTTTAGTTTTGAACCTGCTAATCCAACCCTCTCTTTTAGCTTAAAACCACCTCATCCATCTTTTTCTTTTAGCTTTGAACCTACTCATCAAACCTTTTCCTTTTAACTTTGAACCTACTTATCAAACCTCCTCATCAAACCTTCTCTTTTAGCTTTGAACCTTCTAATCAAACCTTCTCTTTTATCTTTGAACCTTCTCGTCAAACCTTCTCTTTTATTTTTGAACATTCTCATCAAACCTTCTCTTTTTTCTTTGAACCTATACCTTCAACCTTCTCTTTTATTTTTAACATGCTCTTTAAACCTTTTTTATCTTTGAATCTACTCTTTTATCTTTAAATCTACTCTTTTATCTTTGAACCTACTCTTTCAACCTTCACTTTTATCTTTGAACCATACTGTTTCAACCTTGACTTTTATCTTTGAACCTACTCTTTTATTTGAACCTATTCTTTCGACCTTCACTTTTATCTTTGAACCTACTCTTTTATCTTTCAACCTTCACTTTTATCTTTGAACCTACTCTTTCAACCTTCACTTTACTCTTTCAACCTTCACTTTTTTCTTTGAACCTACTCTTTCAACCTTCTCTTTTATCCTTGAACCTACTCTTTTATCTTTGAACCTACTCCTTCAACCTTCACTTTTATCTTTGAACCTACTCTTTCAAACTTCTCTTTTATCTTTGAACCTACTCTTTTATCTTTGAACCTACTTTTTCAACCTTCTCTTTTATCTTTGAACCTACTTTTTCATCTTTGAACCTACTATTTCAACCTTCTCTTTTATCTTGAACCTACCCAACAAACCTTCTCTTCTAGCTGTGAGCCAACCATCTAACCTTCTTATCTAGCTATGTAGATCCTCCCCCTCCTTGGGTTTAACCTTTGAACTTCAATGAAATGTGGAATTATAAGTCTAATATAAAACCAGGGCTAAGAAGAGGCTGAGGAGAGACCTCTCCTCCTTCCTTCACTTCTAATTATCCTTCCTTTAGCAATATCTTAATTTCTCTCCCTGTCTTACTCCCAGTACTTCTTAGTTCTGAATAATGAAGTAGGTTTGAACTACAGATTTAGTTTCTTATTTTCAACTCATTTTCAACTCATAGATGTGTAGTTCCAGGAAATATTTTTGTAGTTTTACAGTGGGATCCATAAACTGTGCAATAGGAAGACGACATGTCAGCAATCTGATGTGACGTTGATGTTATAGAGCAAATTGTTTTACCAATAGCTTTAAAATCAACTTATTAAGTGAAATGGAGCCGCGTATTTGCTTAGTTTCATGATTATTGAACTATCTAAAATCATAACATAAGTCTAACAATTGTCTCATTTTTCATGTTTATTAAACTATCTAAAATCATAAATTAAGTCTAACAATTGTCTCATGTTTCATGTTTATTGAACTATCTAAAATCATAAATTAAGTCTAACAATTGTCTTCATGTTTCATGTTTATTGAACTATCTAAAATCCTAAATTAAGTCTAACAATTGTCCTCATGTTTCATGTTTATTGAACTATCTAAAATCATAAATTAAGGCTAACAATTGTCCTCATGTTTCATCTTAATTGGACTGACTATCTAAAATCATAACTTAAGTCTAACAATTGTCCTCATGTTTCATGTTTATTGAACTATCTAAAATCATAAATTAAGGCTAACAATTGTCCTCATGTTTCATCTTTATTGGACTATCTAAAATCATAACTTAAGTCTAACAATTGTCTCATGTTTCATGTTTATTGAACTATCTAAAATCAAAACTTAAGTATAACAATTGTGTCCCTATTCCACAGTTTTATGAATCTTACTCTAGTTTTACAGAAAACTTTTGTCTCCCCCCCCCCTCCTCTCCTCTCCCTCCCCAATATTCTTTCAACTAATACATTTAATAAATACAATCCTTTTTTTCAATCTACAATTGTCTTTTGCAGTCTATAGTTAACCTTTGATGTTAAAGGGTTGAGTAATAGATTATTAGTTACTTATATATGTAGCTGACTAGGAGGGGATACTGGGTTCGGTGACAAATATAGAAAAATAGCAGAATAAAGAACAAAGAAAAACAATTATAACAAAATTTTTAAGATAAGAACTGTTGAACCAAATGAAACCCAATTTTGTTATGGACATACAAATACACTAGAGTTTGAGAGCATGCCATGCATTTAGATTTTTTTTTAAGAACAGAAAATCTAAGAGTAAAGATATTTTTCAAGTTCATTCACCTACGAAGAAAGATTTAGTCAAGATTAAGGGTGCGAAGTCCCCTAATTTCATGTGTACACATTTCTAATACTAGTTTAAACAAGCAAAGTGAACAAAAATAAAGTTTGTTTTCAAATGAAAAAGGGTTTCTCAAATAATCCTAGTTTAATCCTTTCTGTAAGTCTTTATTTATTTGATAAAAAAGGATTTGAGAAAATAAATTTTGTTCCACTTGTTTGAATATTATTTTAAAGAAAACAAGAGAATTTTGGAAGTTTTCAAATATTTTTATGATAAATTTCAAGTGACCTATAATGTGAAGATGGCAATGTCATATTTACAACGATACCCTTAAGAAACTTTGTCTGATCAAGTATGAATTAAATATCGCTGTTTATGTTTCTTCAAACTGATAATTTTCACTTGCGGTTTCACTGCGAAAGTGACTTGCGCATTCTCTGCTCACACCAAGCAATGGAAAAATTATCTGAATTAAACACTTCTTGAGTCAGAAAAACGATTGTTTCTTTCACATTTTTTATCAGATTTAGGTTTTGAGAGTGCACGTGAAAGACAGATACATGTGACCACTATACTGCACTGCAATTGGCGGGATTTCTGGTGACGTAATACCGGACTTATAAATTATATTATCAATTATAACTATCAAAAATAGAAAAAAATTATAATATAATAATTAGAGAAAACCTAAGTTACGATTAGGTTTCTCTGGGATATCTTTGTTTTCAGATTGATTGCGTATTTGCTGAATACGATCTGTCTACTATGTCTATACTAAATTGTATATTTATGAGTTTTCGTATAAAGGAATTGAGTCTTTGCATTGCCACAAACTATGATTTCATCACCTCTATATCTTTATAACCCTATGTTGTAGACCTTAGACATTTCAAACTATGATATCTGTTAGATCAAATAATCTAAGTTTGAAATATCAAAGGTTTACACCTTTAGGTTGTATAGATATAGGGATAAGAAAATTTGAGTTTGTGTCAAAAACTCAATTCCTTTGACAAAGTTTTATTTTAATTTCTCGGGACAGGAACATCAAATATCACTTTCATGGGTAGCGATCAAGAGCTAAAGTGATTAGCTTTCAGCCTATACCCCCTTTCATTTTTTCTTCACAGTCCCTTTAAGGTTACCGCTGTAAATCGGGCATTGCATTCTTTGCATGAAGGGTCACTTGTAATTTCGGTTACAGTCCCTTTAAATTTTCCCTTAATTCTCTTTCTTTGTTTTTGTTCTATTTCAATTATTTGAATGAGCCCATAAATGTCCTAAAGTATTTGTTAGATTATCATATTTATATAATTTTATTTACAATAGAACAGATAGTTTTATCTATTTACCATAAATATATACTTTCGGGATATATTTACGCTATAAAGGAAACATTTATGTAGTTTCAGATGTCCTGTTTTTTGGTCAGTGAGCCTTCTCTTTCGAACCTATTTTTCCCATGAAAGCAGATTTCGTTAAACTTTATGTTTTAAATATGTAGGCATTTAAGGTTCTGCTTTCTTAGATGGTTCTTGATGGCTATATTTTTAATTTTTGAAAATAAATAAAAACAAATAAACAATCTTCTTGATGAGTTTCTTTAAATGTGAAAATTGATATTTTCCAATGGTTTGAGACTGATAGGAAATTAATCCTTGAAAGTATTTATAGAAATATAATTAGTTTCTCCAGTATCTTCTTAAACCAGGGAGAAGTAGGAAAATGTTATATAAAATTATTTAAACAGTTGTACAGGGATACCCACGAAGTATGATACTTCAGAGACGACTGTACGGAATTTATATTCCCTGCAACTGTAAACTTATTTCTTTCTTCGCCAAATCAGTAATTAATCCACTAAAATAATTTTACCTTAGGATCTTCATATTTTCAGTCGTCTTCGCAGTCTCGTTTTTTGTGGGTTATTCTTTACTAGCTAATGAGGTAAATTACAATATATTTGCAACCTGATTGTGTAAGCTTAGATCATTTGATCAACAGAATACAGAGTTTGAAATATCTAAAGTCAACAATGTTGGGTTTCAAAGATATAAAAAATTAGAAAATTAGAGTTTGTGACAAAGACTCAATTCCTTTATCTTAAAACCTTTTTGCAGTAAAATTTGTTTAGCCTTGTAATAAATGTAAAAAATTCCTGAGACGAAATTATGAAAATTAATAATAATAATCAGAATTGGAAAATTAATAAATAACTAGAATTTGTTATCAAGAAACTTATTTTTAAATTAAATTCAAATATTTTCTTATCAAAATCAGTTTCTAGTTTTCCATATTTGCTTTCGAATACATAATTGTATATAACTTTTAAATTTATCAAGAAGTATTTACTACAGTGATAACCAGAAAACTGATGAATAGGAAGACGACTTTTATACTCAAGCTATCACTAGTAAGTGATTGTATAAGCTACTAGTAAGACTATTTGCTTTGTAACCCACATGAAATACTGCTTTAATGTTGTATTCCTGTTCTATAGTTAAAGGTATTTCTGAAAAATGTAAATCTAAATATTTTACATCAAATTCTATAAAAAATATGGCTGTAAATTTACATTTTCAGAAATCATGGTCAGGAAAATACAGTTTCCTAAAGAAAATCATTGTTCAGGTAATCCATACCATCCATCCATTTAAATAACCAATCCATCCCATCCATCCATTTAAACAACCTATCCATACCATCCATCCATTCAAACAAACAATCCATCCATTTAAATAACCAATCCATCCAACCCAAAAACCAATCCATCCAACCCAAAAACCAATCCATCCAACCCAAAAACCAATCCATCCAACCCAAAAACCAATCCATTCAATTTGCTAAATAAAAACTTTAGATTTTGCAAGCACTATTTTTTTTATTTTGAACACTTATTGGAAAAAAAATCCTCGAATTCCAAAAAAACTATTCATCCATTGTATATTAGGGCAACCCTAGTTGTTAATTATTAAATGTTCAGATGTTGAGAAAGGTTTGGATGGAGCTCCCAATAGTATTTATCCTCCTCCCTTGGTTAGGATCTGGTTTACACTGCTTCAATTCGGATACAGACAGCTTAGAATTAGGTCGGACACTAAACTGCCGATTCATCTCAAAAGTTACACTAGCATCATATAAAAATTAAAATGTTTCAATATGTTAACTACATTCAAATGAATCAAATCCGAAATTTATTTGAAAAAGTTGTCTCAGGAATGATCTGCCATTGCAACTATTATAGCCATGATAGGAGTGGGACTCATTTATCTTTGAACAAGTTAAAGTTGAGACTAAGCTTCTAAATTGAGACCTGAGACAATAGTAACTTAATATATTTTGTTTGTTTCAGTAACCTTTTCCTGCTTTTTATTGCAATTATTGAGGCTATTTGCAGTGATGAACTTCACAAGAAATATCTCAGCTTTGCTCCTCTAGGCATGTTTGATTGAAACAAACTTTTGATAAATATATTAGAGGCAACGTAAAAAATCGTAATTTAAGTATCATTTTATTTATTTATTACATAACAGCACAAGAAAAAGAGAAAGGAACTGAGTTTTTAATCATTACATCTCTGATGTGTCGTAGACCTTTGATATTTCAAACTATAAATTCTGTCAGATCAAAGATGCTAATATCAAAAGTTTGCACTATCAAGTTTCAAATAGGTAGAGATTGGAAAATTTTGCTTGTAATAAAAACTCAATTATTTTTTTTCCTTAATGAGGGCTTACACGTTGTTTCTAAAAAACGAAAATCGGTTGAAAAATGAGACACAAGAATAACTACCGTTTTTAGAGACAACCTTTATGTATTTAAATAAGGTTTAAAAAATTCAAACATGTTAGGAGTAATATTTTGTCTTAATTTTGTTCTTGCTTTCCAAGAACTAAGAAAACTTATGAAATGGGAGAAAGGTATGAATGAGAGGAATGAAAGTTTTCAAATCATTGACCTGGTTAAACGCCAACTACGCCAGGACACAAAGTATCTAGAAGATCTGGACGTGGGTGACGTTATCTATCTCGAACCTAATGATAGCACCACAAAGGAGGTATATGTACCAGCAGATGTGGTATTGCTGGGTGTACAGTGCCAATGCCACAATGTGGAGAGTGGAAAGACATGTGGTCGCTGCTATATATCCACACAACATTTGAATGGAGATACAGAAGTTATAACTAAACAAGGACATCCAACCCTCATGAATAGAAATAATATTGATCATCTGAACTACACTGGGGAGCTAGTATACGATGAACCCGAGGAGGGACTTCATCAGTTCAGTGCCAAGTTTATTGGGAAGTTTGTTGGATCTAAAACAGAAGAATTAAATTTCAACAATACTAACTTTATTCCTCGTGGAAGTACAATGTTCCATGCCCAGTCTGTTATCTGCCTGGTGGTATATGTTGGACAGGAAACTAAGATAGGAAAAATGATGGACTCGAAAATAAATGTGAAACGACGCTCTATTTCTGATCTAGCTCTGGACAAATGTTTCTTGAGTATGATTTATCTACTGGGGTTTTTAACTTTGTTACTTACTTGTATTTTCTATTCTGAACTTAATTTAGGATCCTCCTCTCTTTTTTATGGCGTTATCATCGACCCTACTCAGGAGACATTTCAAACCAACCATTTTGGAAATGTGTTAATTCAATCCTTTGTAGAATTGCAATATATCCTCCCTGTTACTCTACTTATTACAATAGAAATTCTTCGAATTCTCCAAGCCTGGAAGATTGAAAAAGATCCTAAACTTACAGCATCCATGTTTGCTAACCCACATTTTACAGATGATCTTGGTAAAGTGTCCCACGTAGTACTAGACGGAAAAGCAATTATTACAACTAAAGAAATAGAGGTCAAGTCTCTAAGTGTTCCTTATGAAAGTTACAAAGTTGATATTGCACTATTAAAAGGAGTTCTTGCTAGTTCAGATTGTTCTTCTGAAAGGCTTCATCAACTGCTGATTAGTATTGTCCTCATTTCAAATTCAACTTCTTTAACGATCCAAGAGAGAAACGCAGAGGACAGCGCATTCTTAGATATGGCAGAACAACTTGGATATGTTGCAACTATACACAATGATTCTCAAACACAGAGTTTGAATCTGCTAGATCTAACCTATGAAGTTGTGGAGATTCTGTCTTCACACTCTAAGGACAGTGTTATGAATGGAATTATAACGAAAACAATGCAACAGAATAAAGATATCTACTCGTATTTTATAAAAGGCACAAGATCCCAACTGGAGGAGTATATGGACATGAGTCTGACTGCAGGGGTTACTGACTTTACCCATCGTGGAATGAGCACTTCTTATTTTGCTTCCGGAGTCTTGATAAATTCAGAGGTAGAACTGCTTCTAAACTACTCTAAACCTCAAAGACAAGTTGCTAGACTTACTTGGGTTGAGAAGAACCAAGAGCTTTTCAAACTAAAACCTCAAAACATGCAAATGGTTGGCTCTGTAGGTATGCGGAACAAAGTAAACTTGAAGTGTAAGGACCTATTCAGGGACTTCAGATCTGCAGGGTTAAAAACAATAATTCTTTCTCAGAATGCACAGGAGTGTATTAAAGCCTCATGTGTTGAGGCAGGCATATTAACTGGAGACAAGATGGATCAACTTCTGAAGTTTGAAAACCTGAATTCTATGATAAAAGCAAAAACTGACAGAAAAGTCAACTGCATAATTGTTAATGGAAATACTTTTGCGGAAAATACGCTTCGAATTCCTTTTCTATTGGAAACTCTTAGCCAACATTATGATAGGATAGTCGTATCAGGGGTGCTACAACATTTTTGTTAGTCCCATTTTTGCGCGCTAGCATAATTTTAGCCAACTTAGTTTTTTGCAAGCATGCCATTTTTGCTTTTTTGCCTTTTCTTCTCCTAGCTGCAGGACTTTACCCCCCACAAGTCCTAGCTTTAGCGATTGACCTCCCACAAGTCCTAGCTGTAGCGCTTGGCTGCTTTCCTTTCCTTGCTGTAGCACTTGACCCTTTGCCTGTTTTAGCTGCAGTACTAGACCCCTTGCTTTTCCTACCTGTAACGCTTGACCCCTAGCCTGTCCTAGCCGTAATGTTTAGCCCTCTTTAGCCTGCAGCACCTCAAAACCCTAAACTACCAGATCCCATAAAAAATGTGAATAGGGATGGTGCATAGTAAAAATGACTCTTTCTGTGTTTTTATAACAAAAGTTGCACCTGTATAAGGTATGACAAGCAGGCTCAAAAAACAAATAGTAGAAGGTCTACTCTCTCAATTAAAAAGAAAAGATCCACGGTTAAAACAACGGCTTCTTAATGTGGTTTGGCCGTTCTCTCAGAAGAGGCGGGAAGCTGTTCTGGTGATAGGAAACAGTGCACATGATGTTCAAATGATTCAAGTTGCTGATTTGTCAATCTACTTTAATTCCGAGGATTCAGAGGAAACCTTTGAGGATGCTAGAACTTACGGAAACTTCAACGCCAGCTCGTTCCAAGATTTAAGACGGCTCTTCCTAGTTTATGGGATACAAAACTCTTTCAGTGTTTCTAAGGTAAGAAAGATCAAACCTCTAAAACGCTGCACTGAACTGAAATATTTCCTTTTTAGGTTTCATTTTTTATTCTGTACAGCAATTTTCTGAGAATATCGATTCAATTCTTAATCTGGATTTTTCTGGAAAAGAATATGTCTACTTCTGTCTTTGAAAGTTTTGGTAAATTTTTTAATCATCTTTATTATATTTTATTAAGCTTTTAAAAGATCAGTCCTAGATAGGTTTTTTATGTTATTTTCAGACTTTTTCTGTTTTAACATTTTGATTGGAGTACTTGGGCTCGTCATTGGTAGGTTTGAGCAAGTTTATTCAGCTGATGATATTATGAAGTAAGTAAAGTTAATGTTAGAAAATTACAACCTATATCTTGCTCAAAAAGCTTGGCTAATTTTTTGTAGTTTTTTCTTCTATTAAACTTGTTAAAAGCATACATTTTAGCAGTGCTTCAGATCCTTTTGATTTTGATTCAGATTCACGGTAATTTAGCTAGGGGTCCTGGTTAAAAGTCAACGAATCTTCATCCGCTAAATAATGATTTTTCGTAATTGCTAATTTAAACTTTTTTGTTGGGCTATGTCGGATGACGGATTTTGAATGAGAGATTAGAATATTCCGATAAAAACAGGATTCTCTTTGATAAAGTTAGTTTACATGGATCCGGATTCTGTAAAAAAGAGATTCATATCCAAATCCCAATCCGGATATGGGTCCCATAGGATTAACAAAGGAAGTTTGTAATGATATCCCATTAATTGACAATTGAAATGTTTGTATAAAAAGTATTTTTTTGGTGTTTTGTTGATATTTTGTCTCTTGAATCTGATCCCGCGGTGTCGAATATTTTTTTTATGAATCCGGATCTAGGGAGCTGAAATGTTTGGAATCCCATGGATCTAGATCTAGGGAGCTAAAATGTTGGGAATCCCATGGATCAAAATCTAGAGAGCTGAAATGTTTGGAATTTCATGGATCCAAATCTAGAGAGCTAAAATGTTTAGAATCCCATGGATCCAAATCTAGAGAGCTAAAATGTTTGGAATCCAATGGATCCAGATCTAGGGAGCTAAATGTTGGGAATCCCATGGATCCAGATCCAAAGCACTGTATTTTAGGAAGCCTGATCTCTACCGACATAGAGGCAATGAGGTTGATAGTTCGGCCACTTTATTCCTTTGGTTACTCTCAGGGTTCATTCACAGCTTCTTCATTGTCCTCTGTTTTGCTACTTTGGAAAATGGTAAACTTCAAACTTTTTATTATTATCATTTTATCTTTTAAATTTCAATAATTGCAGACAATTAATTAATTAAAGGATGTAAAACTTTTTCCTGTAGAAAGACCTAAAGTTATTCTAAAAGTTCCTGTAGATAAATCAAATTCTAGATTTAATGTTGAATATCCCGTTTTATAGAAATGTTGTTAAATATTTAAGGATTTGTTAATGACCGTTTAACTGGAGGATCAGAACTAACTTTCCGCATTTTCCTCATTCTAGCAATCAAAATTGTAAGTATTGTGTGATTGTAAATATGCATTTGTCTCACGCAAAATTGCCACTTTAGTGATTGTTTTTAACCAGATGTAGCCTAAAGTTAGACCGTGTTAACCTAATTGCACAATCTAGCCCTGCCTACTGAGCTAGGCCAACTATATTGACCCCTGCCGTATATCTCCCATTTTAGTTGGTGTACCTGGCGGAGCAGTACAAACTAGGATCGTAATGGTCGGTTCAGCACAGATTTAAATGTACATGAGTTGAATGTGATTAATCTAGATTTATATTTGACTTATCTTGTTGTCTTGTAGGAGTCCAATGATAGCCAGAACAGCTAAACCGATTAGGCCCATGATTTTGTATGGTAACATATCTCAAGGAATGATCCTGACCAGTTGAAATTGAAAATGTTTTCACTGAGAAAATATTATTTTTGAAAATCCATCAGTGTGAAATTCTTGAAATCTTTTAATTTTATAAAGATCGAAACAGAAAAAACGGAGGCTAACAAAGGAAAACTTAACAGCTTATAACAGTACAAGAAAACTGGATGCCAAGCCTATTCTAGACAGGATGAGATGATTCTTATCTTATCTCATCTTTTCTAAAAAAAGGTTAACTTTTAAAACTTTTTTTCAGGCAGTAACTGAACCAAATATAATCCCAACAAATCGCTTCTTCAATCCTAAGTTTGAATTCAGTAAGTTCTGTTATTGTAAAAGTGGTACACAAAATAAAGAAGAATGTGAAGACGACTTTTGGACCGTTGTTTAAAATAGTTCAAGAAACACGGTACACATGCTATTGATTGCAAGTGAAAGAAACATAAATTAGTTTGACTAAAGATCGTCTTTCTTCCACTTAATTGTGGGAAACACCGTTTTTTTCCAATTGATCCAATTTCAATTATATTTTATTTAGATAAGATAACTACTGTAGTTGCAGTATCTCTACCTCTACTCTATATACTCAAGCTAGCAGTATATTTTGCATTTCAAGGGTAAACCTTTACATGGTGAACAAAACACTTTTTGAAAAATCCGTACGTTTTCAGAAAAAAATCCTTCCGATCGTACAGTTTAAATTAAAATTTTAAAGGGACTGACCGGCTTTGTAAGGTAGTTAAACTGAGTATGCAGTGTTGTGGACAAATTCTTTGGGATTCATTTAAGACGTATAAAACTTTTTAAAGATCTGTAAATCCTGAGTTTGAGCGCAAAGTCGACGTGCAAAATCGTACTTTTGGGTGGATACGTTTTCAGAATTTTTTTTTTAATTATTAAATAACGACGACAAAAAATGTAAACAAAATTCTACAGTGAACTAATTAGTTGTTTAGGAACAGGTTGAGAAAATAAAAATTAATCTTATAATCGAAAATAAGTAATCTTATTCAATTATTATTTTCTATTTTCTCATTATTCTAGTTTCCCATTATTCCCAAAGATTTTCTGCAGATTTTCTAGAATTATTATTGAAAAAATGACATTTGAAGAATGATAGAAAATAAGAAATTCAATTTAATGATGAGAACGAAATAATTGATTCTAACATTGATTTATTTACAAATTTCTTTTGAAAAATATGTTCCTAACCATATTAACCATATTAGTTTAATGAATAATTTTTACTTTATTTTTCGTCATCGTTATTTAATAATTTAAAAAACCGATTCTAAAAACGTATCCAGTGAAATTCATGATTTTGAACGTCGATATATATATGTCTCAAATGAATTCTAAAGAATTTGTCCACAAGACTGCATACTCAGTTTAACTACCATACATAGCCGGTCTGTCCCTTTAAGCCTTTGACTGCAATGAATGAGTCCACCAATTTTACGTTAAAATTGTGTGTAAAATTCGACAAAAATTCATTGATTGCAATCGTTAAAGAATTTCCCGTTGTTTAATGTATTCACTTCTATTTCCAAAATAAGAATAACTTTTTAATAAACTGTCCTCCATACAACATAGCCTGTAAATCAATAAATCATGTACTACTCACATCCTAGAAAACCAAGGAAGTACATTCACATGATTTCGTTGTACATGGTGTCCCAATAAACATGGTAATTTAGTGACGACCTTTATATCGTCTTCGATCCATGCGGCAGTTTTTTATGAACACAATTATTGTAGTATTCCTAAACATCTAATATCAAAAACGCCTGGTCTCGAGATTTTCAAAATGTGGTCTACCATTTTTTCATCTTCGAAATTGACGGAGATATTGCAAAATTTGTATACATTTCAATTTATTTAATAAATCAAAATTGTCTTAATATCTTTTTAACAATTTTTAAGATACAAAATGGGTAGACCACTTTATGAAAAGCTCGGCAGACGTACTGCCTCGTTATTTTACTTTCTTTGCCATGCATTTAATATCAGAAATCGGGGACAAAGACGACTTTTAAGTTGTTTTTAATTCCTATGTTTATTAGGACACCCTGTACAGTGGATTTTGAATTCAAATAAAGAGGAAGTTGAGAACTTTTTTCATAAGATATTTCATCGATATTACATGCATGTTTTATATCGAAAAGGCATTCTTTATGGCGAGGACTTTAATGTACCGGTTTCAGTATATTTGTACCTGCTTTTTTTATAGTCCCTATACGTACTTCCTCTTTTTCATTTCTTGGCAGATTTGAACGGTAGAGTACAAATGTCCAATCAAAAATGAGATATTAGCGTGACATGTGCTCAACTCTATCAGACAACTTCTTTTGGAATTAAAAACGTGGATTATTTCCTTATCCAAAGATTCAAATTTTTTTTTCGACAAAAAGAAAACAAATTTAACAAATTGAAAAAATGTATTTCAGGCAATTGGCAGTAGCATCAAACTCTGAAGGTTTGGCAGATATATCAGGGTAACCTAAACATGAAAATGATATCAAGAAATATTGAAGAAAAAAAAGAATTAAAGAATTTTTTTCTACTTAAAAAGAATTTTTCAAAAATACATTTTACTCAAGTTATTTTCATTCATTCACGACCTTTAAGAAAAGCTCGCTCATACAGCTAAGTTCTAAGGCACTATAAAGCTTTCAAGATTTTTTAACTAAAAAAATATTAACAATTTGATCTGATAGAATTAATAGATTGAAATATCAAAGGTTTACACAATAAGGTTGCAAAGACAAAGGAATAAATAAGGCGAGTAATACTAATCAGTTACTCTGATCATATTTTCAGAAATCTGATATTCAATCCTTTATTCTGGTGGGTGTCATTATTCACAGCTGGAATATGTACAATCGCAGATTCAGTGTACAAGGTCAGCTTATTTTTTTGAACAGGCTTTTGACGCTCCCTCCTCTTCTTTTTTGTAAACAGGCGGTTTGAGGTTCCCCCCCTCTTCTTTCTTGATCTAGCACTCTTTTTTTTTACGCTATAAAATAGCCTATAACTTTTTTAAATTTAATCTATAGATCTAAAAATTAAATTTTTCACAATGAAAAATAAATTTAAAAACGTCTCTCACGTCTTAACATATTTATTATATTTTTCCGACCATTTTTTTGACATTTTTTTCAAACCTTACTAGCACCAGAACTAAAAAAGTTAGCGGTCTAATTGTCAATGATCTGGCCTTGAAAAATTCGACTATGGATATGCATTGAAACCCTATTCCTTTACAATATGGCCTTTTTTCTATGGAATGGGGGGGCCTTGGACGCCATCAGGCTATAGATAGATTCAGACCCCCCCCCCAGCATTCTTAGGGTTAAATGTTTTTAAGCAAATGTAGAAATCCTTGGTAAAATCTGGACTGCCATCTTTGCCTGAAGGGTTGATTAAAATTACGCTTACAGTCCCTTTAAATCTGATCTTTTTGGGGGTAAAGTAATCTTGCCAAAACATTTTCAGTAATTTATGCCTAAGACTGAATTATGTTTATCAAGGAATACATCTCCAATTTTAGAAATTCAAGCAAAAAAAACATTTTAGGGTGTGAAGCAAATTCTCTGGATTAAAAGTGAAGATCTGTAGCGAAATAAAAGTGATTCATGGAAAGAAAATACTAATGAGTAAATATTTTTTACAATTTTGATGCATATACGTCTATTCACATAAAATATACGGTTTCTTATTTCTTTGTATAGATAGATATCAAATAAAAAGTAACAATTTAACATTTAAGAGAATAATTATCTTTAAAGATAGATTTTCAAAATATACTTTAAAATTTCGAAATGATTAGTTTTGACCGGCCTTCAACCTTCTTTGGGTCTAGTAAGTCGCAACAAAAAAATTGGGCCTGATCGGTTTATCCGTTGATGAGTCATAAAACAAACAAAGAGAAAAATCAAATCTACAGGGCTACCCATAAAGGATAAGACTTCAGAGACGACAGAACGTAATTTTTTTACTGTCTGTTTCCTTAAATTCATAATTTTCCCGCCAAGCTTTTACTTTCTGTGCCAAAATATGAAATAAGCCAATAAAGACTATTTAATACATTTAGGGCATAATACTTAATTTTACCGCGAAATCTTCATGCTTTATCAGTTTAGTATTTTGGCGTCTTTACATGCTTATTATGTGTGGATAACCCTGTATAAAGCAACGAGTATGCTGTGGCAACAGTTTACCTAAATTCATCATTTCTTATACAATAACACTTGTTAGCAATATCAGGCAAATTTTATGCAATGTTTTCAAACTTTTTATCAATAAAAAGCGTGAAAAATTAATGTTTTACCAGAGTATTTAATCCTGCAAAAACTGTAATTATGGTTTTTACAGTATTTAGGGTGTTAGTCGATAATATCACATCTACATAAAGGAATTCCCAAAATACTGGGTTTTCCATAAAAAAAGATATTTATCTAAATATTAGTGTTCTTAAATAATACTTTTTTAATATAAGACTAAAATATTTAGAGAAAACTATAAAATTATAAATTATAAAATAATGAGATTTAAAAATCTCCGAACTATGTGTCGAACTGTAAGATATTACCCTATTTTGTTTATGTCTTTTTAACTCTCAAATATAAGTTATTTTTAGTACTTGACCCTAGTTTCGGTCAACTTATTTACCTGCACATTTTTATATCTAAATATAGACAGTTCAGCACAGACTCTTGTTATTTATGGATCGTATAAACCTATAGAGGTAGAGAGGATAGAGTTTGTGATAGATTGTAGCAGCATATTGAAGCTGATAAAGTATAAAAGGGAGTTGGGCATATCAGGACAGAACCTTGAGTAAAATAAATTGAAATCTATTCTTGATGTCTAGTTGAATTATAAACCCGGAGCTCCGGTTGGTTCAACTTGGTTCAAGGATATCAGAGGGTTTTCATATTTCATCCTTCCACTCAACTTTACTCTAACCTTATAAATTCTTGAAAATTTTAATCTACATGGTTTTCTTTTAATCTACAGGGTTTTCTTTTAATCTACATGGTTTTCTTTTAATCTACAGGATTTTCTTTTAATCTACATGGTTTTCTTTTTAATCTACAGGAGTTTCTTTTAATCTACAGGATTTTCTTTTAATCTACAGGATTTTCTTTTAATCACCAGTTTTCCACAATTATATTTCATTTTCAAGTGATCTTCTTCTTCTGTTTGTAGATGGAGTGACATGTCCGATTCACAACGGTACCCTTTGTCCGATTATTCCTAGCTGATAACTGATTTCTTTCCACAGGTTTTTTTTGTATAATTTATGCAGCAAAGACGAATGGAGAACATTGTCATAATTCAAAACCTTTTCATTGTTAGTAAAATAAAGGTTTAAAGGTACCGATGAAAATGAAGGGTCACTTACTTACTTCTTCCGAAGTTTCGTCTCTTTAACTAATGTTCAGAACATACTCAGAAAACTAAATTTTAAATAAATAAAAGTGAAACAAGATTTTAATATATCACATTGTGGATAACAGTATTAAAGTATTGTAATTCACTTTATAGTTGGTGGGAACACAAAATACAGGAGGGAGGGGGGGGGGGGAANTTCCCGCATCTATGTATTTATCTATCTATCCAAAGATATATCTATGTATTTTTCTATCTATGCAGATATATATCTATGTATTTATCTATCTATGCAGAGATATATGTATGTATTTATCTATCTATGCAGAGATATATCTATGTATTTATCTATCTAGCCAGAGATATATCTATGTATTTATCTATCTAGCCAGAGATATATCTATGTATTTATCTATCTAGCCAGAGGTATATCTATTTATTTAACTATCTGTCCAGAGATATATCTATTTATTTATCTATCTATCCAGAGATATATCTATTTATTTATCTATCTATCCAGAGATATATCTATGTATTTATCTATCTATCCAGAGATATATCTATGTATTTATCTATCTATCCAGAGGTATATCTATGTATTTATCTATCTATGCAGAGATATATCTATGTATTTATCTATCTAGCCAGAGATATATCTATGTATTTATCTATCTATCCAGAGAAATATCTATGTATTTATTATTCTAGTAAGCTAGTTATCTATCTTTTTATCTATCTATCTATCTATTTATCTAGTAAGTTATCTGTCTATCTATCTATTCATCTGAAAAATTAACTATGTATCTATCTATCTTACAAGTTATCTATGTATCTATATATCTTACAAGTAATCTATTGATCTATCTTTCTGACAAGTTATCTTTGTATCTATATGACTAGTTATCTATCTTTCTAAAAGTTATCTATATATCCATCTATCTACAAGCTAGTTATCTATATATCCATCTATCTACAAGCCAGTTATCTATGTATCTATCTATCTTCAAGCTAGTTATCTATATATCCATCTATCTACAAGCCAATTATCTATGTATATATCTATCTACAAGCTAGTTATCTATGTATCTATCTATCTACAAGCTAGTTATCTATATATCTATCTATCTACAAGCTGGTTATCTATATATCTATTTATCTGCAAGCTAGATATCTATGTATGTTTCTATCTATCTATCTGTGTCTGTATAATCTAAATGTGAATATATGCAGACAGATATGAAGAAACCTTTTACACAGAGAGAGAAGGAATTTGGATTTAAAGGAGAAATCTAGAAACAGAGAACAGGAATATTTCATTAACACATTTTTTCTCCTTTTATTTAAGATATTTTAGAGCAGCAAATTTTTCTTTTAAGAACAGATACTTGCTGAAGACACACGCCTTTAAAAGCAAACATGGATGGCACATAAATCCAGAATGCTGTGAAAAGTTGCATCCAGACTGGGTCGACTTTGAAGTGTCGTAATGTCTATTCTACCTCACTCAGTCACTTTTTAGTAGCCCGAAACATGTACATTTCAGAGATATGAAGCGCATATTTTTAGCTTTCGTTTTAAGAGGTGATTAGCAAAGTGATCAAAGTGATTTTAACATGAGAGATTGCAACTTTTGAATCACTTTATTCCAAATTAAAAATAAATTTCTAGCTAAACCAAGAAAATGTAATGTTTTTATATGAAAAATGTTCCAAACTAAGTTTAAAAATTCGTGAATGCCACGTTGGATAAAAACGTAATCGTTTTGTATTATGTTTAAATCATTATTTTGTGTCCATAAGTAGGCCTCACTTATGTAATGAAAAAGTAATAATACTTGAATTGCATAAAAAAATCAGAGTATTGTTTCTTATATATGGTCTCAAAATAGACAAACAGATAGATGTAAACACTTCTTTTAATGTCTATTCTCAGGATAGACAGGTCTATAGAAAGTTATAGACACTTTTTCTGGAGTCTATTCTCAAGATTGACAGGTCTATAGACATATATAGACACTACTCCTAGGTGTCTATTCTCAGGATAAACAGGTCTATAGAAAGAAATAGACACCTCTTCTAGGTGTCTATTCTCAGGATAGACACGCCTATAGAAAGATATAGACACTTCTTCTAGGTGCCTATTCTCAAGATAGACAGGTCTATAGAAATATATAGACACTTCTTCTAGGTGCCTATTCTCAGGATAGACAGGTCTATTGAAAGATCAAGACACTTCTTCTAGGTGTCTATTCTCAAGATAGACATATCTCTAGGAGGATAGACAGATCTCTAGACAGATAGACAGATCCCTATACAGATATATATACACTTCTTCTAGGTGTCTATTCTCAAGATAGACAAATCTCTAGAAGAAGGATAGACAGATCTCTATACATATATATATATACACTTCTTGTAGGTGTATATGTAGCAAACATCGTGGAAACATGGTATTTTGTAAAGCTTCAGTACGTTGTACATATTAATGATTTAATGTTGTAAACTTAGACATAATGACATTATTCATTGAAACTGGGTTTCAATTGAATACTGAACATGATTAGCTTAAATCATGCAACATACTTAAATTACGCTATAGAAAATGTGCGGAGATAGCTTACCTTTATTATTGATATTGATCTAGTAAGTGCTAGTGTCTGTATTGACATCGATAGCTAACAAGATCGCACCCTGTGTAGTGGCGTTGATTAGTCGCGGTGATTGTAGCCATGTGTGGATAGTGTCCTATGTTAGCACTGATCAATTGATTGCTAGTGTCTGTATTGACATCGATAGCTAACAAGATTGCGCCCTGTGTAGTGCCGTTGATTAGTCGCGGGATTGTAGCCATGTGGATCGTGTCCTGTTTGAGACATTGATCAATTGATTGCTAGTGTCTGTATTGACACCGATAGCTAACGAGATTGCGCCCTGTGTATTGGTGTTGATAGTTCAAGGGATTGTAGCCATGTGGATTGTGTCCCTGTGTGACATTTAGAACATTGGATCATCCCTACCATTTGGGATCCTTATATATAGCTTGTTTGATAGCTACGCTTGTGTCCCTGTGTGACATTTAGAGCCTGGGATTCAGTCCTGTTTGAGTTTGATAGTGGACGGATTGTACCTGGGTAGATACGTTCGATAACTTGTTATGGAGTAGATGTTTACTTCATATATTCTCAAGATAGATAGATCTCTAGACGGATATAGACACTTCTTCTAGGTGTCTATTCTCAAGATAGATAGATCTCTAGACAGATATATATACACTTCTTCTAGGTGTCTATTCTCAAGATAGATAGATCTCTAGACGGATATAGACACTTCTTCTAGGTGTATATTCTCAAGATAGATAGATCTCAAGACAGATATAGACACTTCTTCTAGGTGTATATTCTCAAGATAGATAGATCTCTAGACGGATATAGACACTTCTTCTAGGTGTCTATCTCAGGATATACAGATATATAAAAGCACTTCTTACGTTGTTTCTGGAACCCAGGGAATAGATGGATAGATAGATAGATAGATAGGTGTGAAAAACAGGGATATTTTTTGGTCTGTTATTTTTACCAAAATATATAACATTTTCCATTTTGTATATTATTTTCTAAAAATGTTTAGTTTTTTATGAAATTTAAGGAGAGAATATATATCGTCATGGGTAGAGCCTATTATTCTATTTATATGTTTTTGTTGTGTTTCTTGCATCTTTCTATCTATCTATCCATCTGTTTGTCGTTGCAAAAAAGTCCATAGATCTCTGATAAGTGACAAAAGTAGTGTTTAAGCTGTCAATGTGCTGGGCCTGGAGAAGGTTTTTGTTCACGCAAAAACTGAGGATTTTTACAATTTCCTAGTATTTTTGAAAAATCACCGCAATTTAATTAAAAATTTTCCTTTTGTCGTTAATCGTGTAATAACAAGCCATGGATAAAACTTTTTTTGTTGTTTAATGAAACAAATTGATTTTTAGGGTAGGGGGGGGGCTGTCAAGGGGGGAGGGGTAATTTTATATAATTATGGATATATTACATAAATAATTATATACATTGGATGAATATTAGCTGAATATTAATGTTGGACTAATGAGTTAACTTCCAAGCTGATGAGTCATTTAGAGCTTGATAAGAATGGTTTTTAAATCACAAAAACCAGCTGGATATTGGATAAGCCCTCCTGTTGCTATTTCTGTAACCTCGTAGCTTAAGCCATTTTGGTTTGTTACATTTCAAAAATTTAATTTTTCTTTTATTCTTCTCTATAGCTCTACTGTAAGAGGAGTTATGATTAAAAAAATTGAATCTAAAAAAAGAAAAATCGACATTTATTTGGTAAAAAAATATTATTAAACCAGAGGCAGAGTTTAAAGAATTTGAACCGCGGAATAAATTTAAGCAACGGCTCAAATATGGTAGGTTCCACTTAAACGTATTCAATGTTTCAAGATTAAAACTGCGCTCAATTAAACCCGGGTTTTGGGGGATTTGAGACGCGGCTCAAATTCATTAAATACGGGCTCAAGACGACTAATTGATCGTGAAATATTAAGAATTACAGTAAAACATATATTTTGTTATTCATTTGTATGTTTACATAAATAAAGGAAGTGACAAGTTACACGATTTTACATCATTTAGAAATTCTTCCTTTCATCTTCAACCTTGATATTATCCTGGCCCTCCTTCAGGTTGGGAGTAAAGGTATCGATGATGTTGAACCCGTCCTTCTCCTCCTCCTCCTTCTTCTCATCCGGTAGGATATTATCTCCTTCCTTGGCCTCCCTGGGCAGACTCCAGTAGGATGTCTCTCTAGCGTTCAACCCAGAGTTTAGCTGACCTAGATCCGATCCCTGACCTTGGTCTGATCTTTGGCTTTGCTCAGACCTTTGACCAGCCTGCTCAGATCTACCAAGGAAGGGAGGAGAGATGAGAGAAATCTCCAGGATTGATGTATAGCTCAGTAGTTGTCTAGCAAGAAGAGAAATCAACTGAACCATCTGAAAACAATATGGTTTAATCAACGGAGCAGAGAACTTAGTTATAAAGGAGTTAAAATCACACCCCCCCCCTTACTATTCCCAGAACAGCTGTCTCTTATTGGTCGAATATTTCTAGTTTAGAATAAAGAATATTAAATAGACTTTTATCAAATTCCTAATGTCAAAAGTTTCAGTCAAAGTACATCAGTGCTTTTTAGTTTAACTTATTCTTATTCAAAAATACTTGGTTGGGGGAAAGAGTGATGTTGTTTATTTATAAAATACCTGAATTGGATCCCCTCCAAGACCCAGTCCGAGTCCTCCACCAATACCACCAAGTCCAAGTCCTCCCAACCCTATTCCTCCTCCGATACCTCCGAGTCCTCCTCCAATACCACCGATTCCTCCAATTCCTCCGAGCCCACCACCGATGCCACCAATTCCCCCTCCAATTCCACCAAGCCCACCTCCAATACCACCTAGCCCTCCTCCGATACCTCCAATACCTCCGATACCCCCAAGCCCTCCTCCGATGCCTCCAATTCCACCTCCAATACCTCCAATTCCGCCTCCGATTCCCCCGAGTCCGAGACCTCTGTCTAGGGTTCCATAAAAGCTTCCAACTCTAAAGTAAAAAGCGGTTGTATGAGTGGATAAATAAAAATTTCAGTATTAAATTCATTTTCGAAAGTTCTTTAAAGTAGGATTTATGAAAAAGTTCTTACATATCTCTTCCTTCAGGATCCTGTCTTTCTCCAGAGTTTTCATTTCCGAACTTCTCTCCTTCTCCGAACCTCTCTCCTTCTCCGAACCTCTCTCCTTCTCCGAACCTTCTTTCATCTCTCTCCCCCTGTTGGAAGTTCCTCTCCTCTCCAAACCGAACAGTATTGTCGTTCAACCTAAAGCAAACAATACAAATTACTACACAGTGTACAGGGTTGCCACAAAAGAATAAAATAATCAATTTTAAAATGAAAAAGAGGCATAAATCCATAATATTTTGCTTAGGGGAAGGTTTAAAGGGTATCATAGTAAATAGGACATGCTGCCTTATTAATTCAATTTACCTGTTGATATCAAACTGTTCTGAAGGAATTAACTGGTTTTGTAGGAACTCATAGTTTCTGTTCGGGTTCTCCTGCTGGAACCTTTTCTTCAGGTTCTCCTGCTGCAGCTCCTGAAACCTTGTTTGTAGGTTCTCCTGTTGGAACCTGTCCTGCAGTTTCTCTTGTTGGAACCTGTTCTGTAGGTTCTCCTGTTGGAACCTGTTCTGCAGGTTCTCCTGTTGGAACCTAGCCTGCTGGTTCTGGTTCTGGCTGTGGAGGGCCGCCAGGTTCTGAATAGTAGGAAACTTGCTCTGCTTGTTCTCTGTTGGAGTAAGGTTTAGGTTTCCAGGTCCTGGCTTTAGCACTGAGCTGGAGAGACCTAGGTCCAGAACCAAGGAAAGGATCAGTGAACCAACCTTAAGGAAAATTTTCTTTTAAAATGTATTTTTAGCTCTTTAAAGAATGGATTTAAGGTCAAGTTGGATGGCATTTAAAGACCAAATTTAAAAGAGGGAGATTGATTCCTTAAAAAAAGAAGCCTTTTTTCTTTTAAATAATAAATTATCTTCAAATATGATCGTTCAAACTTTTATTGTAATGCATCTTATCAGAGAGTTTATCAAAGACGCCATTTCTATCCCAAAGATGTAATTTCTACTTACGCCTAACATGTATCGTGTGTGTAGTAAACAATGATGAGTCAGGGGGAATACCGTCCGACTTCAAATTCAAAGTGAGAAAACGAAAGTGAAAGAAATTGAAAGACTTTTGAAGCAATTTTGTGAAACGGGTTAAATTCAAAGTTTTGATGATTATTTCATTTTTAATTAAAGGTTAAGAGAAATGACGAACATTTCAAGAAACAATCAAAATTATAGATCTAGAAACGGTTTAACCACGTATTTGATCGGTGATTTAGGATTTGTCGATGTTTATCCTACTCTGCAGAACCACAAACAAGTATTTGAATCAACCTTAGATAGTTCAAATTTAAATTCTGTCTCTGACAGTTGATATATAATAAATAAAAATATTACCAGTATTACTGTTTGTCCCATCTCTGTATAAAGATGAGTATAGACTGAAGAATAAAATATTATTCTTCTATTTTATTCATGCTGAAAACTAGGAAGTACAACACAAGAAATATAAAGATGATTATATAATTAATCTGACCTCGTTTATTTTACTGTTGCAGATACCGAGTTAAAGGGACTGAACACGTAATTTCAAGTGTGGTATGTCATGCGGAAACAAGGATGGGAATTATAAGAATTCAACACTTTTCAGATAGAAAAACGATGATTTCTTCCTAATTGTTACTCAGCTAAAGGTTTTTTAAGAGAACCACTGTAACTTGAAAATACGGGAACAGTTCCTTTTCATTTAATCTATTTGTTGGGTTAAACTCCTCCCTTATTATTTCTTACAATGGAATATATAAAACTGTGGAATATTATGCCAATATTAAGCAACTGCTTGTGCATATTTGATGTTGTTTAGATAGTTTGAATAGTACAGTCAACATTAAGCAACTGCTTGTGTATTTGATGTTGTTTAAATAGTTTGACTAGTACAGTCAACATTAAGCAACTGCTTGTGTATTTGATGTTGTTTAAATAGTTTGACTAGTACAGCCAACATTAAGCAACTGCTTGTGTATTTGATGTTGTTTAAATAGTTTGACTAGTA